GGGGGGTCGGTGGCAGCGGCGGGGGTGGTGGTGGTAGTGGTGGTGGAGGAGGCCGGGGTGGAGGCGGTGGTGGTGGCGGCGGTGGGCGTGGTGGCAGCGGCACGGGTGGTGGTCAGGGTGGACCAGCGCAGCGTGGAGGTTGGGGTGGTGTCCAGCGCCAACAGCAGCGTCTCGGAGAGACCCCGTTGTCCCAGCAGCTTCGTGAGTGGTACTCTCAGCATGGGGGGTCTGGGGGAGGGGGTACCTGCACGTATGTCATCCGCACAGGTGAGCGCGCTGGTAAGACGTGTGGGAGGTTCCACACGCTGCAGCGCTGCTTCTTCCGTCTCGACGACGCCTGGCGTGCACAGTTCCCTTAGGCCTCTGAGCTACCCCGCTGGGCTGATCTGCTTAAAAAGAACATTGATGTCTTTGCACTTGACTTTGATGTTATCGTAGGAGCCATGTATGCATTGACTGTTAGTGTTGAGGGTGACTGTTACTTGTGTGTGCCACCAGACCCAGGCATTGCGACCAGTGAGGCTGCCGCTCTAGGTGCTAGTGCGTCTGCTGCCCCAGGTCCTGGCGAGGCTGCTGCTCTTGGTGCAAGTGTGTCTGCTGCTTCAGGTGCTTGTGAGTCTGCGCCTTCAGGTACTGAGTCTACTGAGGCGCTGCACACCTTCACACTGGACTCAGGTGCTTCTCGCTGTTTCTTTCGCGACCGCACTGCCCTCGAGCAGCTCCCTAGGCCGGTTGCTGTCTCCCTGGCTGACCCCTCAGGGGGTGCGGTCCTTGCGACCTCCACCACTGCCCTCCCTTGTCCTGCTGTCCCGTCCGGCACACTGTCGGGCCTTTACCTCCCCTCGTTCTCTACGAACTTGGTGGCGGGTTCTGCGCTCCAGGACGCGGGTGTTCACCAGTTCACCCCTGCCTACGAGCGCGTGACACACTGCACGTGTGCCCAGACGGGTCGTCACCTGGCTACCTTCACTTGGCAGCCGGGGTCGGACTTGTACACACTGACCACTGAGTCCCCTCAGGTAGCGGCGTCGGCGTCTGCGTCAGGTCAGTTGTCCGCCCCCTGCTCGTGTCGCACTTTGTCGCACCGGACGGTCCTCTGGCACCACCGCCTTGGGCACCCTTCGATGCAGCTCCTTCGTGGCATGCACTCCCGTTACCTTGTCTCTAGTCTCCCCAGGTCATTGCCTCCCTTGCCACCGTCCCCTGCCCCTCCCTGCCTTCCTTGTGTCAAGGGACGGCAGCGTGCCACCCCTCACTCCTCTGAGTTTCCCTCGACGGAGGCCCCTTTGCAGACCCTTCACATGGACGTGTGGGGCCCAGCCCGCGTCCGTGGACAGGGCGGAGAGCGCTACTTCCTGCTGGTCGTTGACGACTACACGCGTTACACCACGATCTCCCCCTTGCGCACCAAGGGAGAGGTCCCTGCTGTTTTGATCCCTTGGATCCGCGCTACCCGTCTCCACCTGGAGAAGCGCTTTCGCAGTGAGCTTCCCGTCCTGCGACTGCACTCTGACAGAGGTGGTGAGTTTTCCTCCGGTCTCTTGGAGACCTTCTGTCAGGGGGAGGGCATTCGCCAGACGTTCACGCTTCCGGCCTCTCCTCAGCAAAATGGGGTTGCTAAGCACTGCATTGGCTTGGTCATGGAGGTCGCTCGTACCTCCTTGGTCCATGCGGCTGCCCCCCATTTTATGTGGCCGTTTGCGGTCCGCTACGCAGCGCATCAGCTTAACCTCTGGCCCCGTGTCTCCGTTCTGGAGACCTCGCCGACACTACGTTGGACGGGAGAGGCTGGCGATGCGTCTGTGTTCCGGGTCTGGGGATCTCGTGCCTTTGTCCGCGTCACCTGTTCGTGCTGCTCGCACTGGTCGTCCTGTCCCGCGTCAGCGTCCTCTTGCTGTCCCAGGCACTCACTAGATGACGCTTCATCCTTCCACTGCTCCACAGCTTGTCCCTCTTCCTTCTCCTCCTGAGTCCTCCCTTCCTGCCCTTGCTGACCCGGAGTCTGACACTCTTCGTGCTGCTAGTCCTACTGTCACGCGTCTCTTGGCCACTACTGTCAGTGACCCTTCCTTTGAGTCAGCTGCTGCGTCTGCCTTAGTTGCTGAGCTTGTCGACTTTGCTACTCACTGTCGTCTAGACTACGCTGCGAGTCTTGTTGCTGAGTCTGAGTCTGTCTATCCTCCGTCCGTCGGGGGTGAGTGTGCTCTTGGCACAGACGTCCTTGAGGACAGGCAGGAGGAGTTTGAGTGCTTTGCTGCTGCTGTACCTCATCTTGTGGCCATGCTACTTGCCCCTGAGGGAGACATCCCGACCCCGCGCTCTTACGCTGAGGCGATCGCGGGTGAGTACTCCTCTCAGTGGCATTCAGCCATGGACGCAGAGATGGCATCCTGGAAGTCCACTGGCACTTACGTCGTCGACGTTCCCCCTCTTGGGGTGAACATCGTCAGTGGCATGTGGATTTTCATGGTGAAGCAGCCGCCAGGTTCTCCGCGTGTCTTCAAGGCTTGGTACGTTGCTCGAGGCTTCAGTCAGCGAGAGGGAGTAGACTTCTTCTAGACCTTCTCTCCCACCCCAAAGATGACCACTCTTCGGGTGCTGCTGCACGTTGCCGCTCAGCATGACTACGAGTTTCACTCTCTTGACTTCAGCACAGCTTTCTTGCAGGGCAGCTTGCACGAGGAGATCTGGCTGCGCCGCCCTCCTAGCTTCACTGGGTCGTTCCCTCCTGGTACCCAGTGGAGCCTCCTGCGGCCGGTGTACGGTCTACGCCAGGCGCCACGTGAGTGGCACAACACACTGAGGACTACACTTGCGGCTCTTGGGTTAACGCCTTGTACTGCTGACCCGTCGTTGTTTTTGCGCACTTACACCTCGCTGCCGCCGTTCTACATCCTCGTGTACGTCGACGACTTGGTCTTTGCCACTGCTGACACTGAGGCTCTCGCCCACGTGAAGTCGGAGCTGCAGAAGAGAGACACGTGCACAGACCTGGGTGAACTGCGCAGCTACCTTGGCTTGCAGATCACCCGGGACAGAGCATGCCGCACCATCACACTGACTCAGTCACACATGGTGCAGCAGGTCCTTCAGCGCTTCGGCTTCACCTGGTCCTTAGCACAGGCCACTCCTCTGGCTATAGGTCACTCGCTCTCAGCTCCACCTTCGGACAAGTCCATAGAGCCGAGTGGTCCTTAGAGGCGACGTTGTCCTCACGGGTCATTCGCACGCTTCTTGGGTTTGACGACCAGGCTACGCAGCGGTCGTCACACGATTACACCTTCAGTCTTGACTCTGGCTCTGTTTCTTGGCGGTCTACGCGCTCGTCTTCTGTTCTCGGCTCCAGTTGTGAGGCTGAGATCTACGCCACAGCCATGGCTGCACAAGAGTTATGCTGGCTCACGTACCTGCTGGCCGACTTGGGAGAGAGGCCTCGTTCTCCTCCAGTTCTGTACCTCGACAACAAGGCCGCCATTGCCTTGTGTCAGGAGCACAGACTGGAGAACAGAACGAAGCACATCGCTCTGCTCTACTTCCTGGCTCGAGAGTTGCAGCAGCAAGGTCACCTTCGTCTTGCTCATGTGGCCACTTGGGCCAACACTGCTGATATATTCACCAAGGCACTTCCGTCTGGTGATCATCAGCGCTTTTGTACTTTGTTGGGCCTTGTGCCTACGTTTCCACACTTGCTGTGGACTCTGCTTATGCTGTGATTGATATATATATACCTGCATACTTGCTCTTGCTAGGTAGAGACCACTGTATTGTTCTTGTTGCATATATACCTCTGCATGTGAACTGGCCTTGTGGCCTTTTGCTTGTGCTCAATGTGTGTGGTGACGTTGTGATCCACCCTGAGCTTGCTTTGCTTTTCTTGACTGGTCTTGTGACCTCTTGCTCTCCCCCTCTCTGCCTATGGGGGTGTGTCAAACATAGGCTATATGTTATATTTGTGGGTAGGCTGTAGTGGGGTAGATACTGTGAGGTATAACCCCTTAGGCTTTTCTCCTTGTACCATTCTCTTGATAGTCCAATCTCCATGCCTAAGTTTCTAAGACGGACGTTACCATCACTGGACACGTTCGCGGTTTGCCCACACTTCCGTGCTGCGATGCCTCATGTACCAAATGACTTGCACTCGTCCTGACCTCGCTTACCCTCTTGGTTTGCTGGCTCGCTACGTGGCTCCTGGTCGGCACCGACCTGAGCACATGGCTGCTGCTAAGAGGGTACTGCGCTACTTGTGCAGCACATCAGGCATGGGGCTAGTGCTTGGAGGGAAGAGCCCAATTGTCCTCACTGGGCACTCAGACGCTTCTTGGGTTGACGACCAGGCTACTCAGTGGTCGTCACAGGGTTACACCTTCAGCCTTGGCTGTGGTTCAGTTTCTTGACGTTCTACACGCTCGTCTTCAGTTCTCAGCTCCAGTTGTGAGGCTGAGATCTACGCCACACCCATGGCTGCACAAGAGTTACGCTGGCTCACCTACCTGCTGACCGACTTGGGAGAGCGGCCTCGTTCCCCTCCAGTTCTGTACGTCCACATCAAGGCTACCATTGCCTTGTGTGAGGAGCACAGACTGGAGCACAGAAACAAAGCACATCGCACTGCGTTACTTCCTAGCTCGAGAGTTGCAGCAGCGTGGTCAGCTTCGTCTGCGTTACGTGACCACTCGGGCCAACACTGCTGATATATTCACCAAGGCACTTGAGGCTGGTGATCATCAGCGTTTCTACACTATGCTGGGGCTTGTGCCCACTTTTCCTCACTTGCTGTAGGCTTTGTTTGTACTGTGATCTATATATATATATACCTGCATGTTTGCATTGCTAGGTAGAGATCACTGTACTGTTCTTGCTACATATATACCTCTGCATGTGGACTGGCCTTGTGGAACTTTGCTTGTGCTCAGAGTGTGTGGTGATGTTGTGATCCATCCTGAGCTTGCTTTGCCTTTTTTGACTGGTCTTGTGACCTCTTGCTCTCCCCCACTTTGCCTATGGGGGTATGTCAAACATATATATGCTATTTGTTGCAGTTATTGGTAGGCTGTAGTGGGGGTAGATTCTGTGGGGTATAACCCCTTAGGGTTTTCCTACTTGTACATCTCTCTTGATAGTTGAACGCCATCCTTCTCAATCTAACAATTCTCCCTCTTTCCATCACCCTGCCCCATTCTCCCGCTTTCCATCACCCCGCCCCATTCTCCCTCTTTCCATCACCCCACCCCTTTCTCCCTCTTTTCATCACCCCGCCCCATTCTCCCTTTTTCAATCGACCCACCCCATTTTCCCGCTTTCCAGCACCCCGCCCCATTCTCCCGCTTTCCATCACCCGCCCCATTCTCCCGCTTTCCATCACCCCACACCATTCTCTCTCTTTCCATCACCCCGCCCCACTCTCCCTCTTTCCATCACCCCGCCCCATTCTCCCGCTTTCCATCACCCCGCCCCATTCTCCCTCTTTCCATCACCCCGCCTTATTCTCCCACTTTCCATCACCCCGCCCCATTCTCCCTCTTTCCATCACCCCGCCCCATACTCCCTCTTTCCTTAACCCCGCCCCATTCTCCCGCTTTCCATCACCCCGCCCCATTCTCCCGCTCTCCATCACCCCGCCCGATTCTCCCGCTTTCCATCACCCCGCCCCATTCTCTCTCTTTCCATCACCCCGCCCCACTCTCCCTCTTTCCATCACCCCGTTCCATTCTCCCGCTTTCCATCATTCCGCCCCATTCTCCCTCTTCCCATCACCCCGCCCGGTTCACCCTCTTTCCATAACCCTGCCCCATTCTCCCGCTTTCCATCACCTCGCCCCATTCTCCCTCTTTCCATAACCCCGCCCGATTCTCCCGCTTTCCATCACCCTGCCCGATCCTCCCGCTTCACATCACCCCGCCCCATTCTCCCGCTTCACATCACCCCGCCCCATTCTCCCTCTTTTTCTCAACCCGCCCCATTCTCCCCTTTTCCATCAGCTTGCCCCATTCTTCCGCTTTCCATCACCCCGCCCCATTCTCCCTCTTTCCATCACTCCGCCCCATTCTCCCTCTTTCCATCACCCTGCTCCATTCTCCCGCTTTCCATCACCCTGCTCCATTCTCCCGCTTTCCATCACCCCGCCCCATTCTCCCTCTTTCCATCACCCCACCCCATTCTCTCTCTTTCCATCACCCCACCCCATTCTCCCTCTTTCCATCACCCCTCCCCATTCTTCCGCTTTCCATCACCCCGCCCCATTCTCCCTCTTTCCATCACCCCACCCCATTCTCTCTCTTTCCATCACCCCGCCCCATTCTCCCCCTTTCCATCACCCCGCCCCATTCTCCCGCTTTCCATCACCCCGCCCCATTCTCCCTCTTTCCATCACCCCGCCCCATTCTCCCTCTTTCCATCACCCTACTCCATTCTCCCGCTTTCCATCACCCCGCCCCATTCTCCCTCTTTCCATCACCCCTCCCCATTCTTCCGCTTTCCATCACCGCGCCCCATTCTCCCTCTTTCCATCACCCCGCCCCATTCTCCCTCTTTCCATCACCCCGCCCCATTCTTCCTCTTTCCATCACCCCGCCCCATTCTCCCTCTTTCCATCGCCTTGCTCCATTCTCCCGCTTTCCATCACCCCTCCCCATTCTTCCGCTTTCCATCACCCCGCCCCATTCTCCCTCTTTCCATCACCCCGCCCCATTCTCCCTCTTTCCATCACCCCGCCCCATTCTTCCTCTTTCCATCACCCCGCCCCATTCTCCCGCTTTCCATCACCCCGCCCCATTCTCCCTCTTTCCATCACCCCGCCCCATTCTCCCTCTTTCCATCACCCCACCCCATTCTCTCTCTTTCCATCACCCCACCCCATTCTCCCTCTTTCCATCACCCCTCCCCATTCTTCCGCTTTCCATCACCCCGCCCCATTCTCCCGCTTTCCATCACCCCGCCCCATTCTTCCTCTTTCCATCACCCCGCCCCCTTCTCTCTCTTTCCATCACCCCACCCCATTCTCCCTCTTTCCATCACCACGCCCCGTTCTTCCGCTTTCCATCACCCCGCCCCATTCTCCCTCTTTCCATCACCCCGCCCCATTCTCCCTCTTTCCATCACCCCGCCCCATTCTCCCTCTTACCATCACCGCGCCCCATTCTCCCGCTTTCCATCACCCCGCTCCATTCTCACTCTTTCCATCACCCCGCCCCATTCTCCCGCTTTCCAGCACCCCGCCCCATTATCCCTCTTTCCATCACCCCGCCCGATTCTCCCGCTTTCCAGCACCCCGCCCCATTCTCCCGCTTTCCATCACCCCGCCCCATTCTCCCTCTTTCCATCACCCCACCCCATTCTCCCTCTTTCCATCACCCCGCCCCATTCTCCCTCTTTCAATCACCCCACCCCATTCTCTTGCTTTCCATCACACTGCCCCAGTCTCCCCCTTTCCATCACCCTTCCCCATTCTCCCTCTTTCCATCACCCCGCCCCATTCTCCCCCTTTCCATCACCCCACCCCATTCTCCCGCTTTCCATCACCCCGCCCCATTCTCCCTCTTTCCATCACCCCGCCCCATTCTCCCGCTTTCCATCACCCCGCCTCATTCTCCCTCTTTCCATCACCCTGCCCCATTCTCCCTCTTTTCATCACCCCGCCCCATTCTCCCTTTTTTCATCACCCCGCCCCATTCTCCCTCTTTCCATCACCCTGCCCCATTCTCCCGCTTTCCATCACCCCGCCCCATTCTCAGCTGACTTTTGAGTCGACTCAAAAGTCAGCTCAGTATAATGTCACACGGCGTCTTTTCTACATGAAGAAGTTTAATTGCTTGGAGGTTGCCTTAACGAGTAGGTAATTTTTTAATTTCTGCTCATAAGTGCTAGTTTATTGTAGAGTGTTTTTCTACTGTTCTATCTAGCTTTTACCTGCCATCCCAGCCCCGCGAAGGAATGCCTCGCGCTGGAGCCCCCGGGATTGGTATTTAGGGTGCTTGCTTGCTCATTCGTGCCTTTGTGGTCTGAAGAAGGCTCAAAGCCGAAACTAGTTACCACCGTTTTTCTTTACAAAGGTCTCTAAGCAAGCCCTACTGAAACTTTAAAACTTTTTGCTAAACAATGCCGCTGCCACGCAAAGACACACCCCCTAAGTTGGGTTCCATTGGACTGTCAGTTGATACCACTGCGATGGCCGGCTATAAGTTTAACGCATCAAACAACAACACTACTACCAACAATGTCACTGACCGCGTCTCGACTATCCCAAGAACATTGAGAACATCGCGAAGGAATTCGCAGCCTTGCCTGGATAAAGAGCCGGTCTTCGAAAGGGACTTTCCACAGTCTCCTTCTGCTTCTCGACATAGCAAGAGAAGAGCTCTCGATATTTCTGGTGCTACTCTCGCAAAGTCTGTTAACGTTCCCGGTATTACTCCTGTTACGATGGCTGCTACGGCTAACGCAACGGTTCCGGAACAAGAAGCAGTTCAAGGGATCCAGGACTTCGTCACCCGTGACACCGTCATGCTGGATTCACTTGAATTTCTCAGTGACATTAACGCTTCCTTTCTGGATCAGCAGGCTACACCAGCCTTTTTCAAGTCTCTTAAGACTCTAGCCGTCAATGACTTCAAGAAGCATTTCATGAAGCATCGGACGTTGTTACAGCAATACAACTTCATGGAGGAACAGAAGAGGAACGGAATCATTCCGCACTCTATTCGGATTAAATCCTTCAACTTTGTCTGCCATGCCGAAGATATTCGCCAAGAAGCAAACAAGGACCTGGAAGCCGCTAAGCTGGCGTATTGCCATAGCACGCAGAATATTCTGATTTCTATGAAGAAGAAAGCTGCTGAAAAGGACTTCAGTGATGCCTGTGCTGTCTATCATTCGCTGATTCATCATATCGACAATTTTATCAACCTTAACAAGAAGTCCGATCTCGGCATCAAGAATCAGAAGATTATAAACAACCTCGACGTTTTCAAGTCACGAGTTCTGACGGAGTTCAAGGATTCCGTCTCAATCATCTATATGGAAACCAACATGGCGGAAGTTCTTCTGAAGCAGAAAAAGGAGGAACTTGACGCTAAGAGGAAGGTTGCTGCTGAGGAAGCTGAGAATTTGCCGGTTGAACCCACCGTTCGAGAGATTGCTCGTCAAGAAGTGCAGAAGGTTATGAAGCAGGCTCCTGCTAAGACGTCTGCGAAAATGACCGGCAACAATTTTGTCAAGGATAAGGCTGCTGTTTCTGAAAATCGCAAATCTAAGTCTAACAACTCCGGTATTCCTGTCAGGAAGAACGCCAGTACAGGCAAGAAGTCTCGCAAGACTCCAACAGCCAACGACAAAACTCCTAACGGCAAGAAGCAGACTCTGACGAAGCAGAAACAGAAGCAGAAGGTCGACGAGGCTGAGGAAGCCGCAGTCAAAACCGTCGGCCGATCTTACTCCAAGACAGCTACTCGCAACGGTTCTAAGACTAATGGACGCAACGGCTCCTCCTCCTTTTCTTCCCGAAAGGATCCTGTGACAAAAAACGGGGGAGGCGGAGGCCGCGGAAAAACGACTCGGCGGTAATGGGTGATATTCACTCGTTTGCTCTGGTGCTCTTCGGACGACTTACAGAGTACCAGCTGCAATGTCGTGTCACCAACCGTCGTATCCACAATTACAGTGACCATTCCTTCTCTCGACAGGAACTTAACCTTCTTAGCCTTGGACTGAAATTCATTCCCGTACCTGTTATTCGCACCGTTGCTAGTTTTGAAGCTGAGATCTCTGATTTCTTTAGGAGTGTTCGTACCATGTTCCTTTTTAATGGGTTTGACTCTTTCGGTTACTCAGGGTACAAGCTACCTAAGAGTATCCCTCGGTGCCGATCTCTTCTATCTTACAAGATCTACATACTATTCACTCTGAATGGAGCTGTCTCATTAAACCCAGGATTTGGGACTCTTTCTTTCTTCAACCTAAGAACAGCTGGAAGATTCCTGCTTTCTATGTGCTGCTAAAGATCCATAAGAAAGTTCCTGCCGGTAGGCCAATCGCGGCTTGCCACTCCTGGATCACTACTAACGTTTCTCGCTGGCTTGATTCCGTCCTCAGGCCGCTGGTTCTTAAGCAGCCGACGTATGTCAAGGATTCTCAGAGCCTCATCCTACATCTCGAGAAACGCACCTTTCCTTCTAATCTGCTGCTAGCTTCCTATGATGTGGAGTCACTCTACCCGTCAATTCCTTTATGGGACGGAATAGACGCTGTCGCTTTTTTCCTTCAAAAGGAGAGGCACCCGCTGGCACCAGTCATCGTTCGTCTCCTCAGATGGGTGATGTTTAATAGCTACGTTTCTTTCAACGGCCGATTTTTCTGCCAAATTCAAGGCACTGCGATGGGTACTTCGGTAGCTGTTTGTTTCGCTGTGCTTTTCTGAGCTACCTTGACATTCAGCTGCACGCTTCGCTTCGTGTTTCTCCCGCCTTACACTTTCGTTTCATTGACGATGGTCTGGTGTTGTGGGAGGGAACCAAGGAAGACTTTGTCAGCTTTCGTCAACGGTTTGATTCTTTACATCCTTCAATACGCCTGACCTGGGTGGTTTCTGACATTACCATGGATTTTCTGGACTAGACGGTTTTCAAGGGGGAGAGGTTCTCCAGCACTGGTACTCTCGACATGAAGCTGTACCAGAAACCGATGAACCGCTACCTTTACCTGCCGTTCAAGTCATACCATACCAGAACCACCGAGATGGGCTTCATTCGAAGCAAACTTCAGCGCTTTCTCCTGCGCTCTTCTTTGCGTTCTAACTTTTTTCATTCCCGTGCTCTTTTCTTTGCTCGTTTACGAGCGCGCGGGTACCCAGAAAAGTTTCTTCTTCCCATTTTCAAATCAGTTTCTTTCTCCGACCATGGGGATCTGATTCAACGTGCCTCCGCCTTACGCAACTCTCCTTCTTCCGCCCGTGGCCCCCTCGTGCTGAAACTCCTGCTCAACCCGCTGGTTGACCGTTCGCACCTGGGGAACATTTTGAGTCGACTCAAAAGTCAGCTCAGTATAATGTCACACGGCGTCTTTTCTACACGAAGAAGTTTAATTGCTTGGAGGTTGCCTAAACGAGTAGGTAATTTTTTAATTTCTGCTCATAAGTGCTAGTTTATTGTAGAGTGTTTTTCTACTGTTCTATCTAGCTTTTACCTGCCATCCCAGCCCCGCGAAGGAATGCCTCGCGCTGGAGCCCCCGGGATTGGTATTTAGGGTGCTTGCTTGCTCATTCGCGCCTTTGTGGTCTGAAGAAGGCTCAAAGCCGAAACTAGTTACCACCGTTTTTCTTTACAAAGGTCTCTAAGCAAGCCCTACTGAAACTTTAAAACTTTTTGCTAAACAATGCCGCTGCCACGCAAAGACACACCCCCTAAGTGGGGTTCCATCCTCCCGCTTTCCATCACCCCGCCCCATTCTCCCCCTTTCCATCACCCCACCCCATTCTCCCTCTTTCCATCACCCCGCCACATTCTCCCGCTTTCCATCACCCGCCCCATTCTCCCGCTTTCCATCACCTCGCCCCATTCTCCCGATTTCCACCACCCCGCCCCATTCTCCCGCTTTCCATCACCCCGCCTCATTCTCCCTCTTTCCATCACCCTGCCTCATTCTCCCTCTTTTCATCACCCCGCCCCATTCTCCCTTTTTTCATCACCCCGCCCCATTCTCCCTCTTTCCATCACCCCGCCCCATTCTCCCGCTTTCCATGACCCCGCCCAATTCTCCCGTCTTCCATCACCCCGCCCCATTCTCCCGCTTTCCATGACCCCGCCCAATTCTCCCGTCTTCCATCACCTCGCCCCATTCTCCCGCTTTCCATCACCCCACTCCATTCTCCCTCTTTCCATCACCCCGCCCCATTCTCCCGCTTTCCATCACCCGCCCCATTCTCCCGCTTTCCATCACTCCGCCCCATTCTCCGGCTTTCCATCACCCCGCCCCATTCTCCCTCTTTCTATCACCCCGCCCCATTCTCCCCCTTTCCATCACCCCGCCCCATTCTTGTCAAACATTTATATGTTATATGTTGCAGTTATTGGTAGGCTGTAGTGGGGGTAGATTCTGTGGGGTATAACCCCTTAGGGTTTTCCTACTTGTACAACTCTCTCAATTGTTGAACGCCAGCTTTCTCATTCTAACAAGGCATCAGAAGCCTAGGTTAGGAACCTAGGACCATCTCGAACTAAGGGCCTACCCTTCCGCTACCGGCGTCCTAGAGCGCCCTCTCACCGCCCTCGTGCGCCTCTATACTATCACGCCCTCGTGCGCGTCGTCCTCTTACGCTGCCTGTGCTTAGCTAGCTAGCCGCCCGCGCGTGGCCTTCTTTGTCCTAGCGCGAATAGCCCACTAGCAGCCCGCGCGCGGCCCAAATCGCGCGCGCAACGATTGTAGGCCGCCCACGCGGCTAGCACCACCCACGAGCAGGCCGCTAGCCGCCCGTCGACCCACCTGGCTGGCTTTCCATCGCGACGCAGCCCTGTCCGTAGGTCGCTGCCCCTGCTTTCGTAGGCCGCCGCCTGCTCGTGTCTGCAGCCCGAGCCTGACCGCTCGCCCCTAGGACGGCGCACGATCCACCGCCGCCCGCCCGCAGCTCACAGCCCTCCCATAGTTACGATAATGAGTAGGCTGCTGCAGCTCGCGTTTTGCTGCAGCACGAACCCAGCCGCGGCCTGTGCGCCGCTGCAACTTCGGCGCCGCCGCCCACCGTGCTAGGCCCGCTGCCGCGCTGCCCTACGTGCTTGAGCCGCGCCGCCCGAGTCGCGCCGCCCGAGCCGCGCCGCCCTGACCGAACCGCGCCGCCCCACCTATAGCACCTGCTGTTCCGGTTCCTACTGTTCCTGCTGTTCGTTTCACTACAGCCACTACTGCTACTGCTCTTACTACTACTGCTGCTGCTGCCACTATGGCTACACCCACTGCTCTCTCTCTCTTTCGATGCTGAGGGCCGTCCGCTCTAGTTTGATGCTTGGCTCGACGATCTCCACCTCTTCCTCCTGATCACTGCTAAGGATGATGTCTCGCTGTATGACCACGCGTCCGGAACTGCTCTAGCACCTGCTGACACTGCTAACAGTACAGCCCGCTCCCAGTGGTAGACTCGTGACGCCCACGCTCGCCTAGCCATTCGCAGCCACCTGCTGATAGATGAGCGCGCACACTTCGGCCAGCACAAGACTGCTAAGGCACTGTACAATGCAGTCGTCGCTCGCTACTCCTCGCCTGCCTCTACTACGATAGGCCGTCTCTCGCTGCCCTATCTTTTCCCCGATCTCGCCGCCTTTCCCACAGTCGCTGACCTCATTACCCACCTCCACACCAGTGACACTCGCTTCTGCGCTGCCCTTCTTGCTGAGTTCCTCGCCAAGAACCCCCCCCCCCCGATGTACCTCGTTCTCTACCACCTAGTCGCTCGCCTCCCTGACTCCCTTCGCGCAGTCAGGGACCACTTTCTTGCCCTCTGCCCCACCGAGCTCACCATTGACCTCCTCGAGAAGCATCTGCTTGCAGCTGAGTCTAGTATAGTTGCTGTAGGTGCCTCTCGTGGCGATCCCCGCACGCCCCTCTTTGACGGGTGTTCCCCTCCCCCCCTTCTCCCCTCGGTTGCCTCTGCTGCCGCTGTCAACTTCCTTGGTGCTGAGGAAGTCGGGGCTGCGTCTGCTCCTAGCTGGAGGCGCAAGTGCAGCAAGGGCAAGGGGGGCAAGGGTGGTGGTGGTGCCAGCGGGGGAGGTGGGGGTGGTGGTGGGGGTGGTGGCGGTGGTGGGGGTGGTGGCGGGGCTGGGGGGGTCGGTGGCAGCGGCGGGGGTGGTGGTGGTAGTGGTGGTGGAGGAGGCCGGGGTGGAGGCGGTGGTGGTGGCGGCGGTGGGCGTGGTGGCAGCGGCACGGGTGGTGGTCAGGGTGGACCAGCGCAGCGTGGAGGTTGGGGTGGTGTCTAGCGCCAACAGCAGCGTCTCGGAGAGACCCCGTTGTCCCAGCAACTTCGTGAGTGGTACTCTCAGCATGGGGGGTCTGGGGGAGGGGGTACCTGCACGTATGTCATCCGCACAGGTGACCGCGCTGGTAAGACGTGTGGGAGGTTCCACACGCCGCAGCGCTGCTTCTTCCGTCTCGACGACGCCTTGCGTGCACAATTCCCTTAGGCCTCTGAGCTACCCCGCAGGGCTGATCTGCTTAAAAAGAACATTGATGTCTTTGCACTTGACTTTGATGTTATCCTAGGAGCCATGTATGCATTGACTATTAGTGTTGAGGGTGACTGTTACTTGTGTGTGCCACCAGACCCAGGCATTGCGACCAGTGAGGCTGCCGCTCTAGGTGCTAGTGCGTCTGCTGCCCCAGGTCCTGGCGAGGCTGCTGCTCTTGGTGCAAGTGTGTCCGCTGCTTCAGGCGCTTGTGAGTCTACGGTCTCCGCCAGGCACCGCGTGAGTGGCACGACACACTGAGGACTACGCTTGCGGCTCTTGGGTTTGCTCCTTCTACTGCTGACCCGTCGCTGTTTCTTCGCACCGACACTTCCCTGCCGCCGTTCTACATCCTCGTGTACGTCGACGACTTGGTATTTGCCACAGCAGACACTGCTGGACTCGCCTACGTGAAGTCTGAGCTGCTGAAGAGACACACGTGCACAGACCTGGGTGAACTGCGCAGCTACCTTGGCTTGCAGATCACTCGGGACAGAGCACGCCACACCATTACCTTGACTCAGTCACACATGGTGCAGCAGGTCCTTCAGCGCTTCGGCTTCACGTACTCCTCGCCTCAGGCCACTCCTCTGCCTACTCGCCACTCACTCTCAGCTCTGCCTTCGGATGAGTCCGTAGAGTCGAGTGGTCCGTATGCAGAGCTTGTTGGCTGCCTCATGTACCTGATGACCTGCACACGACCTGACCTTGCATACCCTCTGAGCATTCTTGCACGCTATGTTGCTCTTGGGAGACACAGACCGGAGCACATGGCTGCAGCGAAGAGGGTATTGCGCTACCTGTGCAGTACGTCGGGCATGGGGCTAGTGCTTGGAGGGCGGAGTCCAGTGGTCCTTACCGGCCACGCGGACGCTTCTTGGGCTGACGACCAGGCTACGCAGCGGTCGTCACAGGGTTACACCTTCAACCTTGGTTCCGGCTCTGTCTCGTGGCGGTCTACTCGCTCGTCTTCGGTTCTCGGCTCCAGTTGTGAGGCTGAGATCTACGCCGGGGCCATGGCTGCACAGGAGCTTCGCTGGCTCACCTACCTGCTGACTGACCTTGGAGAGCCGCCTCGTTCTCCTCCAGTGCTGTACGTAGACAACAAGGCTATGCTGGCCTTGTGTCGAGAGCAGCGCTTGGAGCACAGAACGAAGCACATTGCTCTCCGCTACTTCCTTGCTCGTGAGCTGCAGCAGCGTGGTCAGTTGCGACTTGCGTACGTGGCCTCTGAGGCCAACACTGCTGATGTGTTCACCAAGGCACTCGCGCCTTGTGACCATCAGCGCTTTTGCACCCAGTTGGGTCTTGTGCCTGTCTTGCCTCACTTGCTCTCCTCTTGACTTCACTTGTACTATGACATATATATATGCCTGCTCTTGTTTGTCTAGTTTTATATATATGTCTGTACTCCTGCATGTGAACTGGCCTCTGGCCCTACTCTTGTGCTCGGAATGTGTGGTGACTTTGTGATCCACCCTGAGCTTGTTTTGTTTTGCTTGACTGGTCTTGTGACCCCTTGTTCTCCCCCACTTTGCCTATGGGGGTGTGTCAGATTTATATGACATAGTTGCTGTAGGCTATAGTGGGGTAGCACATATGGGGTACAGGGTTTCTAGGGTTGTATTTGTACCCAATCTTTCCTTAGTCATTTCATTCCTGCTTACTCATTTCACATATATCTATAATAAAATATAGGAAAATACCTAGCCTAGGAAATCAAGCAATTCATGCATGCATATAATTATCCTATGCTAGAAATAGCATGATAAAGTAAAGGCAAGCAAGCATAGCTGCCATAAGCCGTCGTACTCTCACAGTTTGAACGTGAAACGTGAAATGTGAAATATGGTTACTTCAACAACACTTAGGTTATAACATTTCCGATCCACATAATTTGGGAGATTTTAGAGTTCCAGTTCTGTCTTGTACCTACACACAAGTGTGTATACTGAACTTTCCAGCCGACGCATGTGAAAATCGAGGCAAAAGCAAGGCTCGACGCGCAGGTGTTGCCACGGGAGAGGAGGATTGGACCAAGTCAAAGAGGTCTCGGAATCTGCCTGGTGGAAATGGGGTGGACGTGATGTTTACAAGGATAATCCAACTGAGTTCGAGAATGCTGCCAGTGCCAGGGACAACGTTCACCTGTTTGAGTGTAGCAAGCAAGCCTGAATTTGGGCCGTACTCGCAGGCCTGTAGAGCAAGAGCGAGGCTGAGAATGAGAAGGTGGAGCAAGTGGGGGGGGCTTTATTAGGTGGCGGTGGAACATGTGTAATACCTAGATACATTGATTGTGCGCAGTACAGCCAGCGTGTGAGCGACCCGGAATAAGACTTTATCGAAACGAATCTTCCGGGAAATGTCGTTCTTGCACCTGCGATCTGAAATTTTGAACAAGAGAAAGTTTATAGGGAATTTTCGTCAAGATACACCCACCATTGAGGTTCGTTTTCGATATTGCACAGCACGTTACTACACGGATCCCGACTTCTCGACCCTGAACAAACAGACTAAAACTTCCCAACACTGAGCAATCAGGGTGATGTTTTTCTCGAAAACGTGCACCCATAATACAGGGGGGGGGAAAATTCCGGAATCAGGGAGGCCTAAATTGAAACGTCAGCCCTAGTCTAATGGACAGAGCTCAATCAAGGAACATTGCACTGCATGAAAGTGTCCTAAGTGGTACCATTACAATTGACCATGAAGTGGAACAAAAAATCCACAAATCACTTCATTAGAGGCTTCGCCAGCACGAAGCTGAATCAGAGGAGGGGCAGCCTTGAGGGAAACAAGTAACATCCAGTGTGTGCACTTCAGCTTTCATCTTCTATGCCTCCCCCTCCCCTGCCTCTCACCACCTGCCCTAATGGATTCTGGAAGAGCGAGCGAACCTTGCACAAAACATTAACTCCTTTGCTAAATCCTAGCATGCTCCTCCTTCTTGGTCTATGGCCGACACATGTGCATACGGTACAATGTGTCTAAACAGCTTATGTTAGCTCTTTTCTCCCTATACAAGACTCTGGTCTGGTTGCCCTGGACTGGCAGGTCAGAAAGCATCCTTGCGAGCTCGAATCTCTCCCATCACATCTTCAGGCGCCTCTCTGCCTGTCACCGTCTGGAACAAACAAACAAGCACACAACGCAGTAGCAACACAGGGAGCACATGTGAATACCGGTAACACAATAAACACAGGTTCGTGACATTATCGAACCATGTCTGTGCGGCCTGAGAGAACGTGAGCAGCACAGCACTCCGGGGCAGGGACTTTCCCCGATGCAGGCGAGGAAGTTCCTGGAGAACGCATCAGCATGCTGCTGCAAAGGACAGCACCCCCACTAGCAACCATGAGCAGGAACAGGAGCATGGTGTACCTGCATGCTGGGCAGCTCCACGCGCATGAAGGGGTTATACTTGAGCTCCTGCGCGAGCGATTTTTGAGAATTCTCGCAAGTGACTCCCAATCACTGCCCTCATGGCCTACCATCGTTTGAGAATTCACAAAAGTACCTGCATGCTGGGCAGCTCGACGCGCATGAAGGGGTTGTACTTGAGCTCCTGCGCAAGCGTGGAGGGCACGGTGGGCAGGCGGTTGCGGCGCCGCTCCATGGCCCACTCCATCTTCTCCTGCGCTGCTGGGTTGCTGGGCTCCAGAAAAAGCGTGAACTGGAGGTTCTTCACTGTGTACTGGCAGGTACAGGGAGGGTGGGGGAAGGGGAGGGACATAGGGAGCAGAATTCTGTGATGTCTCAAAAGCCTAGAGAAACAGAGCAAACTTGAAGTTCTTCACAGTGTACTGGAAAGTTTAGAGGGGGTGGGGGAGGGAGGGTGCATAGGAAGCAAGCTTTTGCAAGGTCTTCAGATACAAACATTTTCTGGGTGCTTTTGCAGCATTCTCAGCTTTCCTGTTAGCCACAAAGAAACTTGCATGCGCCCACCGCATGCGCCCACCGCATGCGCCCACCGCATGCGCCCACCGCATGCGCCCACTGGCCAGCCCAACGGATCAGGCATGCTGACCTCATGGCCGCAGTAGACTTTGGTGGCGGGAGGCAGCATCTTGATGACCCGGCACAACGAGTAGTACATGTCTGCTGGTGTGCCCTCAAAGAACCGCCCGCACCCCCCCACGAACTGCAGTGGGCGCAGGGGACATGCAGGGAGAAAGACATGGGGAGGGCGGGTGGCAGGGTGGGGAGGAGGTTAATGGTGATGGCGGGGAATGAGGATGGGGTTGGGTGCAGGTGCATGCGAGAGTGGGGTGGTTGATGGAGCTGACATGCCTGTCGCCATGCACATGATGTATGGGCGTATGGAGGATGATGGAGGGGAGAGAGGTGGTGTGGTGTGGCGGCATGGTGCAATGAAGGGTGTGTCTAGGGAAGATTGTATGGACATTTGGGCAAGTGCGTGTGTGTGCAAGTATGGGGGAGTGAGTGCGTGTGGGTGTGCGTACAAGGCAGTCTCCGGTGAAGAGAATGGGGTCGTGCTGGCCGTTATTGGCTGTCACAAAGTAGCATATGTGCCCGGTGGTGTGCCTGCCGGTAGCAGGGAAGGGTTGGGTGAGGAACCAGAAGGGGGAACGGGCTGGCGTGTGTGAGTCACAACACAAAGGGGACGGTGATGTGGGGAGAGGGTGGAGCGGGGCAGTGCATGACAGAACACAACGAGACACACAGAGATGCAGACAGAAGAACAGACGCAGAACAACAGGAGACGAGAAACAGCAGGAGGAGGAGAAACAGCAAAGGAAGAAGAGGAGGGGAAAGCAAAGGAAGAAGAGGAGGGGAAGGCACGGGGGCACAGTCACCCCGGGGTGTGCAGCGCCTTGATGGTCATGGTTTCATCGCCCAGCTGGAAGCAGTCGCCGTGCTTGAGCTCGTTGGTGCATGCAGGGATGGTGTCCATGCTCCCCCCGTACACCAGCACACTTGGCAGCATCCGCTTCACCTCCTCATTGCCCCCCGCGTGGTCCCTGCGATCACACGCACGGGGGCATGGGAGAGCGGAGAGTGGGAGATGGGGAGGGGACGGGAAGGAGGAGAAAGAGGAGGAACGAGGGAATTCGGGGAGAAGAGTGGGAAGGATGGGGAGGAGGGGGAAAGGATGGGGGAGGGAGGAGTGAGTGCAAAGGGAAGTTGCGAAGAGACAGGGGGGTAGGTGAAGCATGGGTTAGCACAAGTTCGGATAACAGTCACAGCAACGAGAGCAACAACACGGTGAGAGTGGAGTATGGCAGAGCTTGGGTGGGGAGCATGGGCAGAAAATGCAGGGAGGAGGAAAGACTCTGTGTGACTTCCAACGGTCACCCCACCTGTCAACTGCCAGTCTCTCTCCCACCTCTGCTCTCCCCCATTCCCCCTCACCCCTCCCCGCACCTGTGGTGGTGTGTGGTGAGCACGGCGACGACGTTGAGCCCCTTGTGCTTGGCGGCGTTCATCACCAGCACCGGGTCCGCTGGGTCCACCGCCGCCGCCTCCCTGCTCTGCTCGTCGTACAGCCTGCGCGCGCGCGGGAAGGGGAGGGGGACGGTTGCGCGGACGAGGGGGTGGGTGGGAGGGAGAATGTGGGGAAAGGGAGGGGGGGAAGAGGGGGGTGGGTGAGAGGGGGAATGAGAGAAGGGTTTGAATAAGTATAGTGACGCGGAAAATGGGAGGGGTATTTGTCAGTGCGACTGTGCGCCCGTTGGAAAACCGAGCTCTGGAAATGGACGAACGCGAAACGGAAAGGTCACGGTGCAACGAGCAGTGGCGGAGAGAGAACAGAGGAGGAGAGGATGCAGAAGACAGAGGAGAGTAATTTGTGCTGTTTAAAAGCATAGCGTGTCGCGCGTTTGAAATGTATGGTGCATAGTGTGTCGGACTCTCTGCCCTGTCGAACGCGGACGTTGTGTGGGAGATGGGTGGATGGGCGGATGGGCGGATGGGCGGATGGGCGGCTGTCTGGGCTTACAGATACGCGTAGTTGTCCTGGAGGACTGGCACGATCATGACCTTCATGGCGACTCGCTGCACACGGAAACGGCACCGACGCTACGACGTGGATAAGAGAAGAGTACGCGCGGACCACGGGAAAAGAGGCGATAAGGTCCGGGGCTTGCTAAGGCAACCCGCACCCACGAGGAAATGACGCGGCGAGGTGATTGGATAACGGCGGGGATACGGAAGCAGGAAAGAGAGGGGGAAAGGCGCTACGAGCGCGCACCTGCGATGACGGAGCGGAGGTAGAGCTAGGCTGGGGGTAACAGAGGAGAACAAGGTTTGTAAGAGTGTGCGGCAGGCAGGAAGGATGGCGAGAAGGAATGGTAGAAGATACTTAAGTCTTTTACTAGCACGGAATCTAGATTCCACGTGGCTCACTTACTCAGCTACGTCGATTCGCACACGTTCACTCGAGGTGTAAGGAATTTTGCTAATTCCTTACTGAGGCACCGCTTACGCGTACATTTCCAACTTTTCGGAGTTCAGGCTCGGTCCGACGACCTCGCCTCCCGAACGTCCTCCGCGTCGCCTTCGGGTTTTCCAAACCCAAACCTACACCCAACCCTCGCACGACTTCGCGACCTCGGGCTTAGCTAGCCTTGCTATATTATGCCTAGGCCCCGATGTTTGCTCAATAGTTGTAATCACTTCCGCGATATTGCATTCTGCGCACTCTTCTTTCATACAACTCATAACACCTCGTATCATAGCTACTTTCCTAGGTTACCCTCCACTTTCCGGGGTAGTTTAGTACGGGGGTGCGATAGGTTTGGTGGGCTGCAAAACGGTCGGCTGAGAGATAGATACGATTATCTCGCTCCGACTAATAGCGTTTGCGCCTTCATCAAAACCAGAAAAATCGCTGTTAACCCCCTGCCCGTTAGACGAAGCCTGCGATACATGGACCAGGCGGAGTTAAACGAGCTCATGCAACAGTTTCGGGCACTGCAGGCCAACATGCAGACTATGTCTGGCGAGTTGGAGCGCCTGAGGGAGGAAAACGTCGAGCTACGCCAGACGCGAGGTGAAGCGCGTCAGGAGTCGCCCGCCGTGGATGAAGCAGGAAGCAGTTTCGTGCCTAACGACGAGGTCCTCAGCGAGCTACAGAACTCGCTGGACGCTGAAGACGAGCGGACAGCACGAACGCAACGAGCACAAGGGACGCAGGAGCAACAGTCACAGCCGAGGCAATAGTCGCAGACGACGCCACGACAGGCACCAGCGACAACCCCGGTGATGGCTTCAATGGCGCCCCCGATGCATGCAGCAGCAACAGTCTCAACAACTGTTAAAATAAAACCGGCGAACCCGCCCCCGTTAAACCCCAGCGAGAAAGCCGTCACTGTGTCAGCTTGGTTGTTCGGTGTAGAGGTGTTTTTCAATGCTGCGCAAATTGCTGACGATGCTACCCGCATTAATTTTGCAGTGTCACTATTGCGAGGACCGGCGTTGGAATGGTGGAAACGGACTCTTCAGCCAGAGGGGGCTCCGGCAGGGATATCACGTGCGAACGACGGGACCTGGGCAGCTGTCACGCAACAGGCAACTTCAATCTTCGGAGTGGCCACGATACGCACATGGACGGAGTGGGGCGCCGCGCTGCGAAGCAGATTCGAGCATGTATCCGCCTCGGATTCTGCTCGCATGAAGCTGCGTACCTGGAAGCAGGTGGCGTCGGTCCAAGATTACACGGCGACATTCTGCAATTTGGCTGACCAAGTGGACGATATGAGCGACGCGGAACGACTCGGCCGATACGTCGCAGGCCTCAAGTACGACGTACAGTACGAGGTGCGACGGGCGAGGCCACGCGTATTTATCGAAGCCGTCCAAGTGGCCGAATCGACGGATGCGCTGATGCAATGGGCGAGAATGAGTTCCCGGGAGGGCACTCAATTTCGTGGACCGCCGCGCCAGCCCACAATCAACGGGGTGGATGCACCGAGGCGGGGAAACAACAACTGCTTCAACTGCAACCAGCCGGGCCACTGGAAGAAGGACTGCCCGAAGCTGAAACAGGGAAACAGGAACGACGGAGAGGGGTCGGGAAAAGAAACGAGTCAGTAGCAGTTGGGCCACCTACTAACGAGACCCCGTCGCCCGGCAATCAACATCCACACCGAGTAGTGGTACCGATACGGGCTATCGACCGCAACCGGACGAATAAGGTGGATGAACACGTGGATCACCCTGTGCTGGTCGTCGGGAGGGTTAACGGGCATAAAATAAAATTATTCGTCGACGGTGGGGCGAGCCACAGTCTCGTCAACCTGGCGACGGCCAAAAAAATCGGAGTCAAGCTGGACAGGTGTCTACCAGAGATTGATGCGCGATTGGTGGACGGAACACCGCTGGACGAGGTCCGACAAATTCGGATGAAGTGTGGCGACGATTTCGGGTTCTCTATGCGAATGCTGGCGACAACACTGGACGGTTGCGATGTGCTGCTCGGAAGGGATTGGCTGCAGCATTTCAATCCAACCATTGACTGGACGACGGGAGCGATCACGGTGCTGTGCAACAAGGGGCGCGTGACACTTCCGAAATGGGCGGAGCCGGAGCCAACGACAACACGTGTCAACGCGATAACGCTGAAGAGGGCGATAAAACGGGGAGCGCAAGGCTACGCCGTACAGCTGTACGAGGTGGTGGCTTCCGAAAAAATCGCCGACATCGACACGCTCTGCGCTGCTGTACCCGACGACGTGGCGAGCATTATTCGGAGGTACCCCGAAATATTCGCAGATGACCTACCTGATGGGCTGCCACCTCAGCGTCCAGAAGACCACAGGATTGAGCTGGAACCAGGCGCGAAACCAACCGTTCGGTCCCAATGGCGGCTCAGCCAACCGGAGCTCGACGAATTGCAGAAACAGCTGGATTATCTGCTTTCTAAGGGTTTTATCCGGCCGAGCACGTCGCCGTACGCCGCCCCGATACTATTCACACCGAAAAAGGACGGAGGCCTGCGCATGTGCATCGACTATCGAGCGTTGAATCGGGTCACAATCAATTCGCGTTACCCGATCCCACAAGCAGACGACCTGCTGGATCAACTTCGCGGGGCTCGTTTCTTCTCTAAAATCAATTTGCGAGGTGGCTACCATCAAATTCGTGTGTTCGCCGACGACTGCCCGAAGACCGCATTCCGCACCCGCTACGGCACTTATGAGTACACCGTGATGCCGTTCGGGCTGACGAACGCACCCTCGACTTTCCAGCTCACTATGAATGGAGTGTTTCGGGACATGTTGGATAAAAAAGTTATTGTTTACCTGGACGACATCCTGGTGTACAGCAAGACTCGGGAGCAGCATTTACAGGACTTAGACGAAGTGTTCCGACGCTTGCAGCAGAACCGGCTGATTACGAAGGGCTCTAAGTGCGAGTTCTTACGGTCGGAGCTGGAGTTTCTGGGGCACGTTGTCTCTGGGGAAGGCATTAAAATCGACCCTAAAAAAGTAAAAGCGATTTTGGAGTGGAAGCCGCCCACGAACATCACTGAGTTGCAGAGTTTCCTCGGCTTCGTTAACTACGTCCGCCGTTTTGTACCCAATATGGCGGGGGTAACCAGGCCATTAACCGATCTCCTGCATAAGGGCGTGCAGTTTTTTTGGGGGGAGAGAGAACAGCTGGCTTTCAACAAGCTGAAGAAAATTTTGAGTTCACCCCCGGTGCTTCGACTGGCAAATCCATCTCGACCGTTCGAAGTCGTGACGGACGCCAGCGATTTCGCTGTCGGCGCTGTGCTATAACAGGACTTCGGCGACGGACTGCAACCCATCGCGTACGAGTCAAGAAAAATGCAGCCGCCCGAGCGCAACTACCCGGTTCACGACAAGGAAATGCTCGCCATCGTGCAGGCGTTTCGAACATGGCGATGCTACCTCACGGGAGCGGATGTCACAATCCGAACTGACCACAAGTCACTACAGTACATGCGCAGCCAACCACAGCTCAACCCACGACAAATCCGGTGGCTCGACTACCTCGAATCAAATTTCCGCTACACCATCACATATAAAAAGGGCGCCAACAACATCGCCATCGCTCTGACCCGCCCATCCATGCAGACCGCAGCAGTACTAATCGCCCATTCCAACCCTTTATTGGCAGGATTATTCAAGCACGGCTACAGGATCGACAGATTTTTCAGGACCAATCAACACCGCGGGGTCACTACACCGCATGGAAGTTACTACCTAAAAGTCGGTACTAACCGAGTTTGGGTACCTTCCTACCGACCCTTACGCGAATTACTGACGCAAGAAGTACAAGACTCCAACCTCTCCGACATTTCGGCGTCGACAAAACATTGAAGCTGCTGCAGCGGAACTACTACCGGCCCGACATGGCGTCGGACGTGCAGCGCTATGTGTCTGCCTGCCCGACCTGCCAGGCAATGAAGTCATCACGACAACGACCAGCTGGCTTACTGCAGCTGACAAAAGTTAGAAGAAGAAAGAGGATTGAACTAGCAGGAATGAGGATACAAATAGCAAAACCCTAGAAGGGTTGTACTCGCTATAGAGCACCCCACTACAGGCTAGAACATAAGATAATATTCTGACAGCAGCCCCTCGAGCCACCTGAACGACCGTGGCAACAGGTGACTATGGATTTCGTCACGGGCCTTCCAGCTGGCGCAAGTGGCAATGACTCCGTGCTCGTCGTCGTTGATCGCTTAACGAAAATGGTGCATTTCGCGCCCTGCCGTACAACGATCACAGCCGAAGAAACAGCGCGACTCTTCATCTCGACCGTCGTACGCCTCCACGGGTTACCTTCGGCGATCATCAGCGATCGAGATCCGAAATTCACGTCGAAATTCTGGCAGGAGACATGGGCACAGTACGGCACCCGCCTGCAATTTTCGTCGTCCTACCACCCGCAAACCGACGGACAGTCGGAGACGACAAACCAAACGATGGAGCAGCTGATTCGCACGAACTGCCCGGACATCACCAAGTGGGAAGATTACCTTCCCATGCTCGAGTTTGCGTACAATAACGCCCCATCTGCAACGACCAAGCAATCACCCTTCTACCTGAATTACGGGATAGACCCGGTGGTACCCTCATCGACAACTCCCGACAAACCGGTACCCAGGTCACAGCAGTTTATTTCGGAACTCCAGGACGCGCGTGCCAAAGCAGCTGACTTTATCCGAAAAGCGAATTTGACCGCCAGCCGCTACGCTGACCAACACCGACGAAATTTACCCTTCCGCGAGGGGCAGATGGTTCTCCTGGACACTAAAAACCTCAGACTGCCCCAACTCGCAAAACTGCGTCCTCGATACGTGGGACCTTTCCACATCATCCGAATGCTGATACCGGTCACTGCGAAACTTCTCCTCCCGGACGACTGGCATATCCACAACGCCTTCCACGTCAGTTTTCTTCGCCACTACGTGGCACCCCAGTCCTCCGACGTCGCTCGACCCCACCAGGCGCCAAGTGTCCGACCGGTAGCAGATCCCACGCTCCAACCCTGGAAGATATTGAATCATCGCATTCGTGCAACCCCAGCCGGCCGCCACGTCGATTTTCTACTGCGATGGGTGGATCGCACAAGTGACGACGACACGTGGGTCCCGGCTGACTCACTACAAGGGCACTCGGTACTCCGGCAGTATCTTTCTCGCCGACACGTGCCTGATATTGACCACCTTTCTTGAAGGGGGGGGGGTAGTGTAAGGAATTTTGCTAATTCCTTACTAAGGCACCGCTTACGCGTACATTTCCAACTTTTCGGAGTTCAGGCTCGGTCCGACGACCTCGCCTCCCGAACGTCCTCCGCGTCGCCTTCGGGTTTTCCAAACCCAAACCTACACCCAACCCTCGCACGACTTCGCGACCTCGGGCTTAGCTAGCCTTGCTATATTATGCCTAGGCCCCGATGTTTGCTCAGTAGTTGTAATCACTTCTGCGATATTGCATTCTGCGCACTCTTCTTTCATACAACTCATAACACGAGGACTGCATAGGAGAGAGTACAAGAAGGCAGCACAAGATACAGTGCCAAACCACTGTTCACACGTTCCTCATACCGAATTCCAACAACGCGAACAATGAATTCATTTTGCAAGAGCAAAGGATGATACACGTCTGATGCAATAGAGTGAGTGAGCAATGATTGCACTAACTGAGCAAGGAAGGCATGAATGAACATTTAATAGAGAGAGTGCTAACGTTGATAAGTGAATCAAACAGTGAGAATAATATTTGAGGTTTGCATTTAGTGTCTACACCTGGATGTTAGAAGTAGAAAATCTCTATTTCCTTGCATTGTTTTAGTCCACTGTCTTCCCGCTATAAGAAGTTCGATAAGCGAGTTGCAACTCGGAATTTCCTTGGTCCGACTTGGGGAACTGTCGGACCAGCGAAACTGATATGCTGTACGGTTACCCAGGCTCGGCGATGGCGAAGTTTCCCGCCTGAAATTCGTGAGTCCGCTGTTTTCGCTGACATGGAGCTTCACCTTCGAATGAGAAAGCATCCGTAAATTCCTGGGAGACTTGGGTTCGGACAACAGCCAGACCAGGCGGTATTTAGGACCATCAATCGAGCCATAAATGGTTGTGGTCTCTTGGGGAGTCATGGCTGCTGCTTCAGTCTCTTGTATGGCTGTTGATTGGTGTATTCATTCTTTGAGATTTAATCGACTAGTTCTAGTTGTATATCCAGCGTCAACCTTGCGATTTCCCTAAAACGAAGAACTCCATCTGGTGGCGTGTTCTCATCTGCATGAAATTGTGATGCCCTTTCGATCGCGCCTTTCGCGGAACAACATTCCTTTTTCGTTCGTCGCGTAAATTCCCGGTTCGTTTCTTCCTTCTACGATAGGACAGACCGAGCGCGCGGCTAAGAAGTTCTGCGCGTTACCGCCTGCTGCCTGCCGCTTGCCGCTTGCTGCCTGCTCCTTGCTGCTCTGCTCACTCACCAGTGCAAGCCAAAAGAAACGAAACGAAGCGAAGCGAGTTACAGCGCGGACGCGAAGCGATGGCCATGGAGACCGAAGGCTTATCGCCAGCGCTCTTAAACTTCCGCGTGTCTCTCGTGGAAACCCTCGAGGCGTATCTCGGCGTAAGTCCGAGAGGATCATGTATGAGCGGTCACTGATTTTGAGAACACCTGTGTGGAGTAGACTCAGTGATTACTCGGTCCGACCTTCCCGTAGCATCATAACTTCCCTGTGAGAATTTTATCCTTCGGTTGGCCTCACTCAGCAAGTTGATTACTCCTTTTCAACTCCACATCTTCCTGTCTTCCCCGGTTTCCTGATTACAGAAGGAGACGATGCAGCCGTTCGTGAGTGCTGACGACCATGCGAGGTGAACCCCACGCGCTCGCGTTACCATCCTGTCCTGCATTCTGCATTCAGTCCTTCTGTCATCCATGCCCTCGCAACGCTCCTTACCCGCCCTCATTTTTCTGCAGTAACCTTGGCATGCACAAACGCGACGATGTTCTGTTCTGTTCTGTACTGTACTGTACTGTACTGTACTGTACTGTGCTGTGCTGTTCCTCCACCGTCCCTCTTCCCCTCCCCGTGGCCCTCTTTCACAGACCGGCCAAGATTCGCCGAACCAAGGGTCTAGCACCGGTGGGAGGCTTCGGCTCCGCCGCGCGTGGCACACTGCCTCAGAGCGACCAGTTCCCGTTGGAGTTCAACCACCTTCTCTCCACTGCCACCTTCGCCGTAAGGCCCAAGTGGAGTGGCGACATGTGAATCAGGCTTGCGTGCTATATCTCTCCACTCCATCTCGTGTGTGATAAGTCGAGTTTTGAGTCGACTCAAAACTCTACTATTCGCCGTAAGGCCCACGTGGAGCGACGACATTTGAATCAGGCTTGCGTGCTATATCTCTCCACTCCATCTCGTCATGTGCCTTTGTCGCCCGCACATAGACCTGTCCTGAGGGTATGTCATATTTTCTGAGTTTTTTTGTTTTCCAAGTATGATGACATACATGTGTGCGTGCGTGCGTGCGTGTGTGCGTGTGTGTGCGTGTGTGCCTGCGTGCGTGCGTGCGTGTGTGTGTGCGTGTGTGCGTGTGTGCGTGTGTGTGCGTGTGTGTGTGTGTGTGTGTGTGTGTGGGTGTATGCATGCACCAGGAGCCTGAGGACGTGGCAGCAGTGGTGGAGCCTCTCTTCGCCACGCTGCTCCTCAATTGCTGCACACAGCCCTTCCAGGCAGGTGCCCCTGCCTCCCGCCCGCATCCTTCGTCCCTTGAGGTCCCCGCTTCTCTTTTGTTGTGTTTCCTTTGTTCTGTTTTTTTGTTTAACTGAACCTGTTTCTTCCATTGCTTGACAGCATCTCCCCGCTCGTCCCTTGTGAGCCTGCTGAATCCGTTCCCATGTTCGTATCGTACACACCCTGTCACCCGCCACCCTCAGCTCCTCTCTCGCCTAACCCCACTCCTCTCATCGTCCTCCCTCCCTCCCTCCCCAGCTCGACTTTCTCCTCTCCGTCCTCCCGAGTCTCGCAGCATCGCGTGCTCTCTCCTGGTCCTCCTTCCTCCCAGCGCTCTTCTCGCTGCTCCTCGCGCGCTACCCCACCATCTCCATGCGACAGCTCCCAGGGACACACCACGCCCTCATCACTCCCGCCTCCTCCGCCGCCTCGGCCCTGTCCTCGCCACCAGCACCTGGCGCAGCTGGCACTGTGTCAGCTGCTGGAGCTGCTTCTGCTTCTGCTGCTGCTGCAGCTGCAGGTTCTGTCACTGCCCTCGCCCGCAGTGCCAGCACTGCGGGGGGATTGCCAGAAACGGGAGGCAGTATGATGCTGCTGAGCTCGCCAAGACCCGGCAGTGTGAATCCAGCCAGGCCAGGAGGAGGAGGACTGTGGCCTGTGGGCGCTCGGGAGGGAGTCACTCTTAAAGCCCGGGATGTCGTAATTGGAAAGGGAAGCTCTTTAAGTGGAGGTGGGCCGTTGTTCTCCCCGTGGGGTGCACACAGGGGGAAGGGCGGATTGGGGAGAAACAGACGGGTGGATGGGGGGGTGCGGGAGGTGGAGTCTGGTGTTCCGTGGTGGGTGAAGGGGATGGTGTGCAAGGTGGTGGAAACCGCAGCAGAGTCTCAGGACCTCAAGGCCCTCCCGGCCCTGGTGTCTCTACAGCTGCTGCTCACGTGGCTCTTAGAGGATCTGGCTGAACGGGCCGCTGCAGCTGCTGCTAGCGACGCTGCTTCTGCCACTGCAGCGTCTGCCGCGGCTGCTGCTCATGCTGCAAGGTTGCCCGCTTCTGCAGCAGTGCTAGCCACAGGAGGGAGTGCAGGCGCTGGAGGGGCCATGTCAGCAGCAGGAACGCCAGGCGGAGGGAGAGGAGCAGCAGGTGCAGTTACTGGTGGGGCTGCAGCTGGGGCTGGTTGGGGCGGTGCGGGTTCCTCCCTGGTGGCTTGTCAGGCTGCAAGGCAGAGACGAAAGGGGATGGCTGGCTCTGGAGGGGCCTGGAGGGCGAGATCGGCTGGGTTCGGAGCAGGGAAAGCAGTGCAAGAATGGTTGGTGGTGTGTGTACGGGCGTTGGAGCGGCTAGTAGACAACACCACCTGCCACGTGCCTGTGTGCACGCTGATCCAAGGCCTGGACCCGTACCAGCTGCATCTGCTTGTCTCGTGTTCCCCACCGCACCCTGCGCGTGCGCTGGCGTGTGGGGTAGCGGCGCGCAGGGAGTCGGTGGTGGGGTATCTGCGCTTCCTGGATGACCCGCTGCTCTGCCCTTCTTTTACTTCCACGGCTCGCCCCCCGGTCTTCACCTTCCGGTCCTTTCTCGGCGAGCAGGTGTATGGGCAGGTGGGTGCATGCTGCATTGCACTGCGTTGCACCGGGCATGATACCGGCTTTTGAATGTTTTGCTTTTCCATTTTCTGCTCTCTCGGTTTTCGTTTGCTCCTCTTGTGCCTTCTTTTCGCAGTCGCTTTCTTGCTCTTTCCTCTCTCCTTCTCTCCTGCTCCGTTTGACCCCATTCTCCCCTCCCCTCCCTCCCCAACCCCACCATCCCCCATTTTGTCTTGCACCACCCCCTTCCTCTTCGCGTCCCCTTCTCCCCTCCTCACGTCTCCCTTTCTCGGCCTCTCTCCTTCCTCTCCCCCCATCCCCCTTCACCCAGGAGGCAGCAGAACAGGTGGTGCCGCGCTCTAGTGACTGGGCACGTGCGGTGCGCTGCTTACGCCAGGCCCTGCGCAGCAACCCCAACTCTGACTGGTGGCGCCGCGTGCTCCTGCTCGCGCCCTGCTTCCGCCCCCTCCACTACCCCAACCCCGCCTCCGCAGCCGCAGCCGCTGCAGCAGCCAAAGGAGGAGCAGCCGCAGCGGCAGCGGCAGCGGCAGCAGCTGCTGCTGCTGGGGCTGGTGGAGGGGGAGCAGGTGGGGCAGCAGCTGGAGGAGCAGGGGTAGCGGCAGGGAGTCTTGCGGCAGGCGGAAGCATGGTAGGGGCAGCAGCAGTGTCAGGCCCTCAGGGAAGCGGTATGGGCGGTGTAGGAGCAGCAGCAGCAGCAGCAGCAGCCACTCCTGGTGCAGCCGGTCCCTCTCCCACTGCAGCAGCAGCGGCGGCGGCAGCTGCAGCTGCAGCGGCAGCATCAGCAGCAGCAGCGAGTCTGCCGGTAGTGGGAGGGGGGCAGCTGCCGTTTCTGAGCTCCACATTGTCGCACGCCATGCCGCAATTCTCCTCGGGCATGCTGTGCGAGGCCCTTATAGATCACATTTCCGACCTTCTGACTCTTTCTGCGGCTGCCTCTGCTGCAGCAGCAGCTGCTGCTAACGCCCCTGGTGAGGAACCTGATTCTACTTTTCTCCTTGCTCCTCCGCCTTCGTGCCAGATGCCCATTCTGTCTCTCCACTCTCCCCCCCCCTTTCCTTCTCTGCTGCTACACCCTGACTGCATGCATACGACCTCCACTTTGACTTCACCAGTTACTCAAAGCTACCATGCCCTCTTTTTAACCCCTTCTCTTCCATCCCCTCTTCGCCCATCCCCCCCCTCCTCACCCCTTCTTTTACCCTCCCCCCTGCTTTCTCCCTCCGTTACCGCGTGTATCCCCTTCCCGCACTTTCCTTGTTACTGCCTGTACCCCCCGCTTTCAACAGGGGAGGTGGGGTGGGTGGACAGTGCGGGAGTGCCAGTGGACAGTGAGGCGCCGGCAGCAGGGCTGTGGCAGCAGTGGCTCGTGCTGGCAGACATCTTCTATTTTGTCGTGCGCAACGGCTTTGTTGACTTTGTTGACTTTGTCAACCGCTGCTCCGCGCGCTTCCCGCCGTCCTCGCCCCCGCCCACGAACCATGTCACGTGGCTGATCGCGCAGGTGTTCCGATTGGACAATGTGGCGTCTGTTCTCAGTGCCGACCCCAACATGGTGAGATGTGGGATGGGATGGCGGTGAGATGAGATGCGATGAGATGCGACGGGATGATATAGGATAAGAAACGGTTAAACACCTACCAAAACCCTCTTTCCCGTGGCCTCCGCCTCCCCCTCCACGCCCCCATTCCCTCCATCCCCTCCCTACCTCCAGCTGGCGACAGTGCGCAAGATAGTGGCGCTACAGGTGACGGAGCGGGCGGGGCAGAGGGGGTCGGGGGCAGGCGTGCTTCTAGAGTACATAGGCAGTGTGCAGATTCTGCGGCTGTGGAACCTGCAGAAGAGCATCAAGGACAGCCTTGATGAGGCGCGCCTGGCGGACTACAAGCAGCAGGGCAAGGTGCTTGACGAGTTCTGGCGCAAGATTAATAAGGGTGAGCAGAGGGGGGAGAGGGGAGGGGAGGGGGGTGGGTGGGAGGGATGTGCTGTGTGTGCTGCGAATGTTTTTTTGGCGCCGATGAGGCCCGTCTGGCGGACTACAAGCAGCAGGGCAAGGTGCTGGACGACTTCTGGCGCAAAATTAATAAGGGTGAGATGAGGTGAAGGCGGAGGGGTTGGGTGGGTGGGGGAGGGGGAGTCCTGTGTGTGTGTTGGAGCTGGCTGTGTTTGCTGGCGGTGGTTGGGTGACTTGTGGGGTTTGTTTTGCTTGCGCGTGTGTTGTTCCCTGTGGTGTGTTTAGCTGTCTTGTGTCTGTCTGTTGGTGATTTTGTGTGTGAGTGAATGAGTGTGTGTGTGTTTTACTTCTGCATCTCTTACTCTCTTCAAGTGCCATTTCTCTCCTCCCGTTGAGACTCTCTGGTGTTCCTTTCTGGGGTGGTGTGGTGCGGTGTTGTGCTGCGGTGCGGTGCGGTGAGGTGCGGTGCCATGGTGTGTGAGCAGATGAGTTGCGGTTGCAGTACGACAAGCTGGACGATCACAGCACGGGCATGGTGTGGGTGCTCAGCCACACCATGAGCCATCCCGTCACAGAGGCGCTCTTCAAATGGCTCACTGCCCCGGTACGTACCTACCTACATACGTACCTACGTTATGCATACATACATACTGTGTATACTGTACGTGTGTGTGTGTGATTAGTTTTTCCTTGGGTTTGCACCCTTCCATCAGCCATCCTCACACTTCTTGTGCTCGCCCTGCGCTATGTTACTCCCCCCCACCCTCTTTCTCCGCTCCCCCACCTCCTCCCCCTTCCCCTCCCCCGCTCCCCCTCGTCCTCCCCGCCCTGCAACTGTGTGATCCGCAGGGTGTGAAGGACCTAGGGGGGGGCGTGCGCATGTGGAACGAGGCGCAGTTGCTGCCCACGAGTCTGCTGCAGGGGCTGTCGCTGCAGGTGGCTCAGCGCCTCGCTGCCACCCTGCAGGAACTCATTGCCAAGGCGCATGAGGTGTGATGGCATGGGATATCATGGGGTATATGACTTGATATATTTATGTCTGTTATTGGTTTACTGTGACCAGCACTCACTAGCACTAATCCCTGATTTCCTCCCTGCACGGTGGCACCTCGTATCTGCCCCCTCTGCTACACATCCTGGGTATCCGTGGCATGGCATTCCCCAGAACGGGTTCCCCAGCATTGCCATGGTGGAGACGTTCGCACGGCTGCTGCTGGTGGCGCCACACACGCTCAACCAGACGCAGACCATCCACCCGCCACACACCTTCGTGCAGACCAACACCCGCCAGCACATTCTCCAGGTACCCGCTGCCCTCCCTCTGATACCCGCTGCCCTCCCTCTGATACCCGCTGCCCTCCCTCTGATACCCGCTGCCCTCCCTCTGATACCCGCTGCCCTCCCTCTGATACCCGCTGCCCTCCCTCTGATACCCGCTGCCCTCCCTCTGGTACCCGCACTGATATTCTTGTGCTGTGAGATGATGTGTTTACCTGCGGTGTGTGCACATGCCTACTGACTTACCTGAATGGTGCTCTTGTGTTCTAGCATATGTGTGCTGTTTCGGGCCCAGGATACAGTTCAATCTCACTCTCCTCCATGGGTCGAATCATGGATGGATCTCAGTCATCCTTTGCCAATGTGCCAATCCGCCTTCATCAAGGCTCGATCTCCCACCGCGCCCCCCCTCTTACTGCCTGTGTCACGTCACCCTGCGCCACCTCCCCTGCGCGCCCTTCTCACGCACCTCACTGTGCCCCTCATCTGTGCGCCTCTGCTGCTCTGCCGTCTTGCCTGCGTCCCCTGCCCCCCTAGCTGCAGGCGTCCTTGGAGAAGTATGTGCCGGGGGAGTCCAACAACTCCGTCCTTTTTGAGTTGACACAAGAGACACCTCTGCTGCTCTGCCCTCTTGCCTCTGTGCCGTGCCCACCTGGCTGCAGGCGTCCTTGGAGAAGTATGTTCCAGGGGAGTCCAACAACTCCGTGCCGCTGCTGCTGCTTGAACTCATCAACTACCGCCTCATCCCCTTCTTCCGGTACGCAACACACAACTCAACCACATTATTACACTGGACTGCGATGCCATCTCCTCCTCCCCCACCCCCCCTCCCCCCCCCCCTTCTTCTTTTCTCCCTCGCTGCCTCTCCCCGACCTTGCATGGCCACATGATGCGCAAAAGAACGGAGATCTGATTCCCTTGCCCGGACACATCACCACTCGCGCCCTCCCCAGGCCACTATCACGCCCCCCCACGGCATCTCTGCCAGCTTGCAGAGAGAGAGTACTGAACTGTGCTCTTGCTCCAGCCTTGTGCTGCTGCTGTTGCTGCTGCTGGTGGTGCTGCTGGGTGGATGTGCTTCTGGTGGGGAGTGGGTGTGGGGCGGCTGTGTGTGTGCTGCTGGCTGGGTACTGAAGAGACCCCTTGCACACGCTGTGTGCCCAAGCACACAGCACTGATGGCCTTGCAAGCTCATGCTCTTCTCCTCAAGATGCTTTTCTATGTGTTTTTTTTATCGTTCAGTTGTCCTTCTGTTTTCTCCCCAAAACCTTTCCCTCCCAATTCCCCTTCCTTTCCAGACCCCCCCCACCCCCCTGCCGTCTTGACAAGCCAGGCCAGCAGATCCCATGCCACCCTTTGCCTTACTTCCAGCCCCCCTTCCGCCCTCTCTTTCTCTCCACCCCTCCTTCCTCCTACCTCCTCCCCCTCCTTCCCTCTATCGCCTCCTCCCTCTCACCCCTCCTCACGCCTGTCGCCACCTCCCCGCCCCCCCAGGTACCACGGCAAGATGCGGGGGCTGATACTGGACCTGGCGAAGATACTGATAAAGGTGAAGATGGTGGCGGGGCAGCACCGGCTGTACCGCCTGGCGGAGAACACCGCCATCAACCTCATCATGTCGCTCAAGGAGGTCATGCTCGTCAAGAAGGACTCCAAGGTGCGTTGTGGTGTGGTGCGGTGCGGTGTGGTCTAGTGTGGTGTGGTGTGGTGTGGTGTGGAGTGGTGTGGTGTGGTGTGCTGTAGTGCTGTGGTGTGGTGTGGAAAGATGTAGGGTGCTGTGCTGTGTTGTGCTGCGGTGCAGTGTGGTGTGGTGCGGTGTGGTGTGGTGTGGTGTGAAGTGACGTGGTTTGCTGTGGTGTAGTGTGGAAAGATGTAGGGTGCTGTGCTGTGTTGTGCTGTTCCGTACAGTGCTGTGCTGTGCTCCAGTGCACTGCAAGGTGTCGTGACATGCTACTTCTGCTACTTCTGCTCCCACTACTCCTTCTCCTCCCACAAGGCGTAAACTGAGTCGTGGTAGTATCAGTTAGTAGAATTGAGACGTACTCTATTCACTCAAGGCTGCCTCCTCTCACCTCCTCTCACCTCCTCTCACCTCCTCTCACCTCCTCTCACCTCCTCTCACCTCCTCTCACCTCCTCTCACCTCCTCTCACCTCCTCTCACCTCCTCTCACCTCCTCTCACCTCCTCTCACCTCCTCCCCTGCCTCACCCCCTCCCTCCGTGCGCCCTGCACATGTACCCAGAACGCCGCGACAGAGTTCTCAGAGACTCTCAACCGGGTGATGGTGTTGAATCTAGCCATCACGATGAAGACGCGCGGCATCCACGAGTTTGAGCAGATCGTGGTGCTCATGCCCGCGCTCGACCAGATGCTAGCGGCGTCCACGCACCGCTGGAGCGAGAAGACTCTGCGCTACTTCCCGCCGCTGCTCCGAGACACGCTTTCCAAGAGGCCCGACTGCCGCGCCCAGCTGCTGCAGGAGTGGATGCAGGTGCGCAGCGCATCACGCGTGCGCGGGGTGGGGAGAGCGTGGGGGGGAGTGTTAGGGAGGTGTGTGGGCGGAGGGGGAGCACGGGTGGGAGCAAGGGAGGCAACATGGGAGGGAGCTGGTGGGCATTAAGGGTGCGGGCATGGGTGTGTGAGCTTGTGTGTCAGATGCCACATCATCCTTGTTTTCCCAAACGTCTTCCCTTTTTTCCCTGCTTTGTAGGCTTGACACGTGCTCCCTCCAACCACCACAGCCTCCCCTCCCTCCCCCCCCCGTTCCGCACCCGTCTCCCGCACTCTCTCCCTTCTCCCTCCCCTATCATCAGGTGGAGCAGCTGTTGCGGCAGAGGCAGCTGCTGCCAGTGCAGCCGGGGCGAGTGGCGGACCCAATGGCGGCACTCAACCTGCTGTCGCAGCTGCCCCCGCACCTGCGCCACCTGCTCTGCGCCGCTGCCTGGATCCTGCACGACGCCTCCCCTGGCTCCGTCAACCTGCAACACCTGGTGGGGCGGGGGGAGGGGGAGAGGGGGATTGGGGGAGGGGAAGAATGTGGAGAGGAATGAAGTGTGGAAGGATGGAGGAAGGAGCTGCAAAGGATGGGGTTTGGTAGTTCTGGAAAGCTGGACTGGGCAGGGCAGTGAACCCCCTGTAAAGGACAGTTTTTGTTTATCATGTCTTTGTGTTGGAGCCACGTCCTTCCGCACGCTCGTTGTGTCCTATCCGTTCTGCTGCTTCATCATCAGCCCATCGTTCTTGTGGCTGCCTTCTCAACTCTCCCGCATGTGTGTGTGTATGTGCACTGCCGTGGCCAGGCTCTGATGCTGCGGGACATGTCGCCCCATGACGTGACGCGCAACGTGTACGCTCTCGTCGACGTGCTGCTGCACCACGTGCAGGTGAGTCACGCCCGTGACAACCGAACCGAACCGCCCGTAATTCAAACTACCACACCCATGCCTGCTGATAGAGTAGAGCAGATTTCCTTGCTCGACCCATCCGTTTTCCGCTCGCTTCGGTGCACCAATCCCCACCCCCCACCCCTCCCAACGGCAGGTGCAAGTGAAGCAGCGCACGCAGCTGAAGCAAATCCTCCTAGCGGCCTCCGCAGCGCTGGCAGACTGGATCTTCGTGAAAGAGCTCCTCCCAGCCGACATAGTCCTGCTAGCCCTGGCAGACCGCGACGACGGGTCCCCGAACAGCCTGCGGCTGGTGGTGGGTCTGCTGATGGACCGGCCCGAGCTGCAGAAGCGCGTGGCGGCGTACTGTGAGGCGCGCGGGCAGCAGGAGCACTGGACCGAGGTCGGGCCCTTCACCACGGTCACTCCGCTGGAAGCGCTCGGGAGCAACCTCATGGGGAATGATAAGTGCGTGGGGGAGGGGGTGGGGTAACTTCATTCCTGTCCTCCATCAATCCCTTCTATTACCCCGCTCCACCCGTCCCCTGTTCCCCGTCCATCTCTCCTCTTCTCCTTCCCCTTCTCCTACCCCCGCTCCACCCGTCCCCCTCCCCCTTCCGCCATCCCCGTGCAGGCAGCCAGTGTTCTTTGGCCACATGGTGCTGCGGCTCAACCTCGTCCATTCAGTGCTTTCCTTCCCTATGCATCCCTCTGACCTTTTCCCTTCCCCCTCCGCCCCTTCCCCTGTTTCCCCCCTCCCGCATCCCCTGCACCCCCTGCAGGCAGCCAGTGTTCTTTGACCACATGGTGCTGCGGATGGTGCCGGTGGTGGCGCTCATAGTGCACCGCCTCATCGAGAACGATGCCATGGAGACGGCCGACCGCCTGCTCGCGCTCTACAACTCGCCGCACAAGCACCTGCTCACGTACCACCCGTCGCGCTTTGCGTTTGTGCGCGACACGCTCGCGTACTTCTACCCCGCGCTGCCCAACCAGCTCGTCATTCAACTGCTCAGCATCCTCGACCTCACCAGGGTGTGTGGGAACGTGCTGCAGTTGGGTGTGTGGGAACTTGCTGCAGTTGGGTGTGTGGGAACGTGCTGCAGTTGGGTGTGTGGGAACTTGCTGCAGTTGGGTGCGTGGGACTTTGTGAGCGTGCGTGGGTGGATGGGTAGAGAGGGTTGGGGTTGTTCCCGCTTGTGCCAGCCACTCGTGCAGTATGTGCATCTCTCTCTTTCTCAACCGCTCGAGTCTTAACACAGTTGCTTCTGCATGAAAACCGAACCATCCTCGTTCCTTCCCGCAAGCCATCGCACAGCACCCTCTCGTGTCCCACACTCAGTCAACCTCTCCACTCCTTCCTAGCCGTCCCAACCCCGCAATACTCTTCTAACCTTCGCCCTCTGCCTCACACACCACCCATCAAACACCCTCACAGATCCCCTTTGCAGAGGCCTTTCTCAGGCAGATGGACCCCTCGCTCTCCTCCGCTGTCGACCTGCCTCCTCTCTCCTACTTCCTCCGCCTTCTAGAAACCCTCTGCCAGCACATCATCCCCTCTCTCCCCGCCCCTCTCCCCGCCACCTCCGCCCCCTCCCCTTTCGCGCCTCTCTCCCCTCTAGACTATTTCCACTCCATCTCCTCCCCTCCTCCTGCGCCCCCAGTCCAACCCGTGCAAATCCCGGGGCTTGGGTCCTTTTCTCCTTCCTCCTTCTCCCTCTCGTCACCCCTCCCAACCGCTCTCACTCTCCGATCACCGCCTTTCTACGAGCACTTAGACACGGGGGGGTTTGCCCAGCTGGTACTGGAAACAGCAGTGCTGGAAATCCTCTCGCTCCCTCTGCCCCCGCCTCGCAACTCCCCTGTGGAGATTCTCCGTGCGCTGCTTGCTGCTGCGGCATTCCCTCCTCTCCATCCCAATGCGGTCGAAGCTTCTGCTGCTGCTGCCGCTGCTGCTGCCGCTGCTTCTGCTGCTTCTGCTGCTTCTGCTGCTGCCGCTGCTTCTGCTGCTTCTGCTGCTTCTGCTGCTGCCGCTGCGGCTGCTGCGGCAACTGGGGATGCAGGCGGGAGGGGGGGTGGAGGAGGGGTGAGGGTGGGTGGGGGCGATGGGGCAGCAGCAGGGGGAACGGATCCTATGATGGTGGATGGAGCAGAAATGATGGATGATATGAAAGAGGTTACGGTGTTACCACCTCGGGAGATGTGGCCGCTCCTGCCTCAAGCCCTGGGGCTGCTACTGGCGAATCTACCGCCTATATTCCAGTCCACCCTTTACACTGTCGTTGCTCAGAAGGTAATTGAGTTCCTGCCCGCTGCTGCTGCCAATGCCCCTCTTGCTCCGCCTGCCTCTGCTGCTGCTGCTCCAGGCGACGCTTCTGGTGCTGCTGCTTCTGGAGCTGGTTCTATGGGCTCTGCTGCAGCTGCTGGGGCTGCTTCTGCGGTTGCTACAGGTGGTGTGGGAGGGGATGGTGGTGGATCCGGGTCAGGGGTGAATGGAGAGGGAGAGGATGGAGAGGAGGAGGGAGAGGAGGAGGAGGAAGGTGGCGAGGGTCATGATGGGGAGGTGGAGGATGATGTGGGAGCAGGGTCTCGGCTTGTGGACATGCTGCTCATGGACCCCTCATGGGCTATTGGCAACGCCACCTGCACTGAGCTCAGTAAGCTTCTCCTTTGATCCACCTCAACATCTTGTTTGGTTCCACCTCCCTCCCCCTTCCCTCCTTCACGCCCACCTCACACACCTCCCTTACGCTAACACGTGCATCACCTCTCTTATCATCGTGCTCCTGTTGTGGGATTGATGCAGCCACCTAGCAAGACAGCGTTTGAGTGGCCTGAGAAATCCTCCCTTCCGCTGCCTGGTTTCCCTCATGCCCTCCCTTACGCTACTTGTCATGTCACGTGCAGGCATCTGGACAGCAGCAGTGCATGCGATGATGTACGCGCTGCCATTCGATCGCATAGAGGGCACCCACGCACTGCTCGTGCTGCAGCGCCCCATCCGCTCCCCCGCCCACCTGCGCCTGGTCTTCCGCCTCGTCGCACCCATCCTGCCCCGCACGCCCATCTCCAAGTCTCTCTTTGCCAAGGTGAGGCGATTCTGTAGGCACCTCAATACCCTCATCCTGCCACGCATGCGGCATATCTCCGTCAATCCCCTCTTTGCCAAGGTAACCCTTGGGACGGTGTTATTGTCATGCTGCATATGCTACTATGCTGCATGTGTGATGGCCCCACCTCTCACTCCCCCCCTTCCTTTCCCTCCCACCCCCTTCCGGCTCCCTTCGCCCCTCTCTCTGCCGGTCCCCACCAGACGATAGCGCTGCTGTTTTCAGCGATAGCGGACGTGTTTGGAGTGAACTCATCACCGCAAGTGACAGGCCCAGCCTCGTCCATCACAGATATCATCGACTTTATGTGAGTCTCACACCCTGCCTCTCCCCACTTTTACGGTAGCTCTAGTATGTTTCAAAGACATCCTAAAATACCCGCCTGAAATACCCGCCTAAGTGCCCTGCCTAAAATACTCGTGTGTCCTGTCATCCCCACGCGACATAACCCACCCCAGGCACCACGTGCTGCTGCTGGAAGGCGGCATGCCAACGCTGGCAAACCGGCGGCCCAAGCCAGAGACGCTGCAGCTGTGCTCCAAGGCAGTGGAGCGCCTGCGAGAGGACGTGCGCGTGCCCTTCCGCCACCTCTGCATCGACCCCTCGCTCTCCGTCTACGCTGCTACACATCCCAAGCTCACTCGCTCCACTGCTGCTGCTGCGGCGGCGGCGGCGGCTGCTGCGGGTGGTGCTGGTGCTGGTGCTACTGGTGGTGGTGGTGGTGGTGGTGGTGGTGGTGCTGGCAATGTGATGATTCCGAGTGGTAATATTGGTGGCACTGCTACGGCTTCTACTATGACTGCTGCTACTGCTGCTGCTCCTACTCTTGGTGCTCCAAATGTCACTGCCAGTGTGCCACTTGGTGCTGCTACTACTCCCCGCTCTGCTTCAGTCAGTGCACCTGGCTCTGCCGCTCCCAACACTGGCATGGCAGGGGGAGCAGGAGGAGGGGCAGGGATGAGAGGGGGGCATGGAGGGATGGGGATGGGAGGAGCAAGTGCAGTGATGGGGGGGCAAGGAGGCATGAGAGGGGGTGCGATGGGAATGAATCCAAACAGTGCTGCGGCTGGTGGCGGAGGGCTCAGTTTGCCTGGGCAGGGATTGTACGGTACATGTCAAAATAGCAACGGTCGGTGGTAGCTGGTGTAGGTTGCAGCTTGCAACTTGTTTCTCTTGGAGCCATTTCCGTTACCGGTGTATATTGGCGCGTAATTTTTAACCGTGTCTAGATATTGACGTATTCCACATTTGTTATGCTATACCCTTTGGGAGAAATATACGCAGTACAAAACTATTAATCTATAGTAACTGTTTATTCAATTAAAAAAAATGGAACAAAAGCAGGACTCTTCAACCGCTCAGGCTCTGTTCTACAGGCAGTCGGGCCAATACTGGTGGTAAGTGTCAGAATGAGAACTACAGCGGAATGCGTTGTGTTGACAGAATTGGGGTACATCACCTAACCCTAACTAGTTGTACCCCATATAGCCCAACCCACTACAGGCTATAATATTTGACACACCCCCATAGCCTAAGTGGGGAAGGCCAATCAACAACAAGCAACCTACGGTCACAAGACCAGTCAAAAACAAGAGAAAGAAAACAAAGCTCAGGGTGGATCACAACGTCACCACCTAATCTGAGCACAAGCAAAGGGCCACAAGGCCAGTCCAAAAGTGTGCAAACAAATATATATATATATATATACATATATATAAGGTACAAGCAAGCAACAGACAAAGAGCACCCTACAGCAGTCACCTAGACCCAGTCTCAACGAGGCCTAACTGCAGACAAAACCGACGGTGGTCACAAGGCTGGAGGGCCTTGGTGAAGATGTCTGCAGTGTTGGCCTCGGAGGCCACAAAGTCCAGACGAGCCTGTCCGCGTCTCTGCAACTCTCGAAGGAGGAAGTACCTGACGTCGATGTGCTTCACTCGGCTCTCCGGTCGAGGCTCACGACACAGGAGAATCATCGCCCTGTTGTCAGCAAACAGGGTCGGTGCAGAGCTCGGCCGCTCACCAAGGTCAGTGAGCAAAAAGGTCAACCAGCGTAGCTCCTGAGCAGCAAGGGCCCCAGCGTAGATCTCGGCCTCTGCGGTAGAAGTCGCAACAGAGGAGGACCGAGTAGACCTCCACGAAACAGCTCCACAACCCAAGCTGAAACAGTAACCCTGCGTAGACCTCTGAGTCTCAACGTCGTCAGCGTAGGAAGAGTCACAGTGACCGGTGAGTACAACTGGCTGTGTCCCTCCAAGTACAAGCCCCATGCCTGATGTCGCGCCAAGGTACTTCGCCACCCTCTTAGCCGCCGCCCAGTGAACAGGACGGTGTCTCCCAGTCGCAACAAAGCGAGACAGGATGCTAAGGGGGAAGGCGAGGTCCGGGCGAGTGCACGTCATCAAGTACATGAGGCAGCCCACCAGCTCTGCGTAGGGACCACTGGGCTCGAACGGCTCGTCAGGAAAAGGCCCAGTGAGTCTGTGGTCTACAGCAAGAGGAGTGGGGGTAGGAGAAGAGTCCTGAAGCCCGAACCGCTAAAGAACCTGCTGCACCATGTGTGACTGAGTGAGAGTGATGGTGCGAGCGGCTCTGTCCCTGGAGATCTGCAGGCCAAGTTAGCGGCGCAGTTCCCCAAGGTCAGTGCAGGTGTGTCTCTTCTGCAGTTCGGACTTCACCTCCGCCAGTGCAGCTGTGTCGGCCGTGGCAAAAACCAAGTCGTCAACGTAGACTAGGACGAAGAAAGGTGTACGGCCACGACGAACAAACAGCGACGGGTCGGCGGAAGACGGCTCAAACGCGAGGTCGGAGAGAGTAGAGCGGAGAGTGTCGTGCCACTCACGGGGTGCCTGGCGGAGACCGTAGACCGGTCGTCTGAGGCTCCACTGGGTCCCAGGCGGGAAAGTGCAAGTGAAGCCCGGAGGACGACGCAGCCAGATCTCCTCGTGTAAGCAGCCCTGGAGGAAGGCAGTGGAGAAGTCAAGAGAGTGTAGCTCGTAGTCTCTCTGCGCTGCTACGTGTAGTAACACCCGAAGAGTGGTCATCTTCGGGGTGGGCGCGAAGGTCTGAAAGAAGTCAACCCCCTCGTGCTGACTGAACCCTCTAGCCACGTAGCGTGCCTTGAAGACTGGGGGAGATCCCGGCGACCGCTTCACCTTGAAGATCCACATGCCGTCAACAATGTTCGCCCCTGGGGGGGGAACCTCGTCAACGTAAGTGCCTGTGGACCTGTAGGAGGCCATCTCTGCGTCCATGGCAGCTCTCCACTGAGAGGCCCAAGGCCCTGACACTGCCTCAGCGTAAGTGCGAGGAGTAGGTATGTCAGGAGCGTTGGGGTCTCCCTCAGGAGTGAGCAGCATGGCACAGAGATGAGGCAAAGCAGCTGCCAGGAACTCTAGCTCAAACTGTCTGTCCTCTAGGACGTCACAGCCAAGGGCACACACACCCCCGGCGGACAGAGGACGGACAAGAGGAGCTGCCACAACTCGAGTGGCGTAGTCAAGGCGACGCGTAGCAGTAAAGTCAGTGACAGCGGCAGTGAGGACCGCGACGGAGGAAGGAGAGGCACGAGGGTTTGTAACAAGAGAGGCGAGAACACGAGAGAGAGAGTGGGGCGGTACGTGCGGTAGTAGTCAGTGACCGGAGTGGACAGGGAGGCAGTGAGGGAAGACTCAGGAGGACGAGGAAGGACAGACGGAGGAGAACGAGGAGGACGAGGACGAAACAACACGGTACGGAGGTCAGTGACATGGGACGAGGGACGAGCACGAGGAGGGCGAGAGGCCCAAGTGTGGGCGAGAGGAGGGGGGGACGGAGGAGACTGAGAACGAGGGAAGATAGCCGGAGTGGAGTCCGGAGGAGGAAACGTGGGACCAAACACAGGAGGAGAGGAGGGGAGACCAAGGGCCCGAAGACCAGAATCAGGGGCCTGCTCCGGCAGCTGCGGCGGCTGCTGCTGCTGCTGCTGCTGCTGTTGCTGTGGCTGTGGCTGCGGCTGCTGCTGCTGAAACTCCAACCGCTCACGCTCCACCCGCTGCTGAACCTCCGACCTCTCACGCTCCAAACGCTGCTGCTCCTCACGCTCTAGACGACGAAGGGCCTGGTAACGAGTCGGGTAGGGGTGAGGAGGAGGAGTGGTGTCAGGAGACGACGAAGAAGAACCGGCTCCACCCTCGACAGGACCCGGCTGAGCACCCCCAGAGCGAGGACCCCCTGCGGCAGCACGACCAGTACCTGTAGGAGGTGTACCCGCACCCCCAGTCGTGGCGCCGCCAGTGGCACCAGCACCAGCCCCAGACTCTCCAGCTCCAGAAACACCACCAGCTCCAGCACCACCACCGACTTTAACACGCTCGGGACGTGCAGCTGCGGCAGGTGCACGCTCAGCTCCAACTCCAACACCCCCAGAACCAGCACCGCCAGAGCCCTCACCTCGAGCACCAACACCCTCAGAGTCCGCAGTGGCCGGGAGAGGAAGCGCCGACGGCTGCTGCGGAGGCTGTGAGGACGACTGTGGGGAAGGAGGAGAGACCTGGGGGGGGACCAAGGGAGGGGGGGTAGCCTGCGACACACCTGACGGAGCGGGAACCGGGGGGGGTACCGGAGGAGAGGGAGCGGGAGGAGGAGGAGCTAGGGCGAGGAAGAGGGGAGGGGGGGGAATCGGGAGACCTCGACAGGGGTACCGGACGAAGTAGGGGACGGACTCGTCGAAACTGACGTCACGAGAGTCAAAGAACCGGTGGGAGGGAGGGTGGTAAAAGGTGAAGTCAAAGGAGGCCTCAGAGAAACCAAGGAAGACACAAGGGACGCCGCGAGGTGAGAGCTTGTCCGCAGAGGTGTCGCGGACAAGCGCCAAGCAGCCCCAGACACTAAACCTCGACGCAACACCAGGGGACCCTGTCCAAAGACTGGTCGGTGAAGCCCCTGGCCGAGAGACGCGAGGCCAAAGGTTCAGCTGGTGAGCGGCGTACCGAGCCGCGTAGGGCCACAGAAAATGGGGCGCGCGGGCGTGGATCATGGAGGTGCGGGCAATCTCCATGACCAGGCCTAGCCGGCGCTCAGCAACCCCATTCTGCTGTGGAGAGTCTGGAAGAGTCCAGGACCGGGTGATGCCCTGCTCAGCACAGAATCTAGCGAGAATGCCAGAGCGAAACTCACCCCCACGGTTGGAGTGGAGACAACTGACACAACGACGACGAGTACTCTCGGTGGCGAGCAGCCACCGTATCAGCGTAGAAGTCACGTCGGACTTCTTCGCCAAAGGGAACACGGTGGTGTACCGAGAGTAGTCGTCAACGACCACTAGGAAGAAGCTCTCTCGCTCAGGTCCAAGCCGGGGAGCGGGGCCCCAGACGTCTAAGTGGAGTGTCTCAAAGGGCTCGGAGGCTGGACGAAGGGAGGAGGAGTGAGGAGTGGCGCGCAGCCGGCCCTGGACACAAGGACCGCACGGAGGAGCGGGGGACGGCGGGAGCGGCGGGAGGTCACGGGGGAGGCCTAAGACAAGACGCTGACTGGACATAGCGCGGAGACGAGAGAGGGACGGGTGACCAAGGCGGTGGTGCCAGAGGAGGGCAGGGTGGGACAGCGACCGACACGAGCACGACGCAGCCACTAGACCTGGCACAGCTACCTGACTGGACCTGGCTACCTGGTGGGACGGGGGAACTGGACGGGTGTCGGTGTGGAGGGTGTACAGACCAGAGCCCGGCTCCTGACGAAAAGTGGCCAGAGGGCGTACGTGTCACCGTCCACACTGACTGCAGTGTCCCCCGAAGGCTCAAACTAGACCCCGACGTGCTGTCTCGCCAGAGGAGCCACACCAACCAGGTTCCTAGAGAAAGTAGGAACGTGGAGGCCGGTCAGAGAACCGGAAGGGGCAGCTGGGCACGGGAGGGTAGTGGCGTGAGTCGCAATGACCGGTCCCGAAGAGGGATCGGCCAGTGCTACAGAAACCGGCGCCGA